GTGTGTGTGTGTGTGTGTGTGTGTGTGTGTGTGTGTGTGTGTGTGTGTTGTATAATGTCAGGTTGGGTCAGTGGTAATTGCTAACATTTTCAGCTTTACTTCATGCTGAGGACACAGAGAATGGATAATGTTCAATTTTTGATGACAGACATTAAAGAGACGTTTCAACATTTACTAATAACCTCAGCAAGGAAAAAAAAGTTTTTTTTCATGCCCACCTTTTGGTTCAGGAAGTCAAATTATTACCATTGTTTATATTTATTAATGCTGATAGAACTTTGCTGTATAATAAAACACATGCTATGCAAAGAAGCATGATAATATTTTCATCCAGTCAATACAAACCCTGCAATAAAATGACATCATTTACTCTGACACAAATGAACTGGTTGAGTACACAGCTGCAACTCTCTTATTGTCTTTAGGTTACTTGGACCTGATTTCAAAATTTCTGATGTCACAAGTTTATATTTCAGCAAAATTGCTGAAAATGACGTGCAGGGTTCTAGTCTGCTCTTGTCACATTATGGCTGTAACTTGTTGTAATTTTTCCCAGCCAAATTGCAGTGCACCAGGTAAATAGGCTATATACTCTTGGAAAATTGAGAAATTTGGGTATGTCGTAATACATCCCAAAAAAAAAAGTAAAACATGTTTTTTTTTTTAGAAAAAATGGGAGGGTGCTTTTTGTAACTGGTGAACTAACGTGGAACTAAAGTGACATCCTTGATGATTTTCCAACAAGTTTGTTGGAAAGCATCTCAATGAGAAAGACATAAATTATCTGTCAGCTGTTTATGTGGGCCTTGAATGGGAGGACAGTGATTACATTAAGCACTGCTCATGTTTTCTTGGCACCTGAAGCTTTCATGGGCAGCATGTGCACAAGACGAGACTGGCTGAGATCCCACTTGAYAACATGACCTGGACTTTTCAAGATTTTTTTTTCCATAATCAAGATTCTGAAAAAAAAGTAGATCAGTGGCATTATGGAAGTTTAGGTATTTTAAATGAGTGATTAAAGCTCCTAATTCACAAAATAAATGTAACTATATTCTTCTTAAAAGAATACCATTTTTTTGCTAATAACTCAAATAAACAGCACAACACAAACAGCCCAGTGGCTATAGAAGGAAAGATTCAGAGTGAATTTTTTTTCTCTGCTTTTCCTGTGCAGTCAATTAAACCACAGTCAGCATAATTTTTGAGTTGTCAACCGTCAGAGTTAATCATATTAATATATTAATCAAATTAATGTTATTGGGGGGGGGGGGTGATAACATTACGTTTGCTTTTGTTTTTTCAAAAATAAAATAACTTTAAAAACACTGTTCCAAATTATTATGCACAACAGTTTCAAAGCATTTTACAGGTTATGAAGAACTGAAAATGGTCATTTGTTGAATTTGCAGCAGTAAGAGTTCATATTTACTGGAGTTGTTCTGAACAGGCCGTTACATTTAAACATAGGATCTGTGGAACTGGTGAGCTTTTGGAGAATTTCTGCTTGAATTTCATCCAGAGATGCTGTTAGACTGTGAACTGCCTCCCACCCTCAGATCCTTTGCTCCAAAAGTTCTCAGTAAGSGTTGAGGTCAGTGGAGGATGGGGACCACACCATGAGCCTCTCTGTTTTTAAGCTCGTAGCAGCRAATGATGCAGAGGTATTCCACGTAACATGAGACAATGCATAGCAATGCATGAAGATGATTTTAGTCTTCATGTATTTTTTATTGGCTGAATTGGTTTAAGCATAACTGCAAGACTCTGGATTCTACACCTGGATGTTTACTGGACTCCAGAGGCACCAGTAGCTTCAAYTAGGTTTTTGCTGCTGTGTAACGGCAGCTGTGCCGCTCTCTGATCTGCACAAATCTGTCTCTGAATCAACCACAAAAAAAGTACAATTATAACACTTAAATGTTTTGTGAACTGTTTTAGGTTTTCCTTGTCCAAGGCATTCAGTTATTTTAAATTACCAAATTTAATATAGCTCAAATACAATTTCATAATAATTTGGTTGGGAAAAAAAATATGTAAAAAAAAGGTAAAATACAAATATTCTTTGGTCCCGTTGGTATACCAAACATAGATGCACATAATAAAAAAAATCAAAGAAACATTAATTAAGCCAGTAACAACTAGATCATCTGCAGATCTTTAGCTGCATTGACATTTTTTTTTCTCTATATACCAACACATTCCTGTGTGAAACTGTTAAACATTCAGCGAGGCACTAAAACTATTGCAGACATTTACTTCTGTGGTATCAGCTGGTAAAACGGTGGTGAGACATTATAGCACACGCTGCCATTAAGAACACTTCAGGACATGATAAAAAACACATTTTTYCATCACAAAAAGTGACACGTGTAGAGGTCAAAGGTCATTTCATGAGGTAAAATCACATTTTGTGTTGCTCAGTTATTAATAATCAGTAGCTTCTGCTTTAATGTCAAAGCAGAGACAAATTTACCACTTGTGAAGCAATAAAGTCTGGAATAATAATGAATTATAGAAGTATTTATTTACAATGTTTGAGGCTAAACCAAGTAGCCAAAAATGACAACTTSAGAAAACTGAAGAATATTAAGGAAATACCAGCTTGGAAGAAAAATCCCAAGAAAAATATTTGCCTGGATGGACATGGCTGTTTATTATCTGCTTGATTATTTGAACATAATTCAGCAGATGTGTCATCTGGTGGTAGCGTAAACATCTTGTAACACTGTACATCTGAAACAAAGGAAAGCAGTTGCTTCGGAGCCTCGTCTGTCGTCATGCTTAAATCATTTACTAAGGAATCACATGTGGTTTCTGTATAAATGGAATAATAGAGTGAAAAGGGGGAAAAAATGGAGGGAATACTCAAAGAGACATGAAACGGCACAGCTTGGCCTTAATGAAACCTTTCGTTTGAACRCTCTGTCCTGTCCACCCTCATCGCTCCATCTTCCTCTCTCCTCTCTCATCATCCTCTCACGCCCCTTTTTTCCCACTCTGATGCTCGGCAGCCGAAGGAGGAAATTAACATGTTCTTTTGTCGCTCTCACAATCGATTCGCTCCTTCCTTTCGCTTCCTGGAGCAAATGGTCATGCATTTAAGTCTCTCTGGTGAGATGATGAACAATGGCCTCACACTGTATGTGCACAAATGGAAGTCTGACTCACACTCTGCTTGGCTAATTCTGGGGTTTTTCTTTTGAATTTGTCACTGATTTCATTCAGAAGAAACAAAATTAGCTCCTAAAATACTTGATATTGCAAATATTCTTTTAAATGTGAGCTTTAAAAATGCATTAAGAAGTTGGTTATGCACTTGAAAATAACAGTTATGGTTGAATCTCTGTTGCAAAAAAGTTGGAAAAATATAAATTAAAAGAAAATGTAATGATTTGCAGATAATGCATTTTAACACAATCGAACATATCAACAACATTTAAAATATTTGAACGAAAGAAACAGGTGATTTTGTTTTTTATGGCAGCAACACTTCTCATCAAATACAAGGGGCAGCTGCAGAAGCRAGTGGCACTAAAACAGGCAGGATTATTATCGGATGATCTCTGCTGGTCTTACGCTTAAAGCCAATGTGTGGACTCGTGTTTTGGGACTGTGTTYGTGTTTGAATTCCTGTCAGTGTGAGGAGGTTGCATGGCGCCTGCCTCCTTCGTCCTGCAACATAACTTCAAGGACATCACATCACCAAGGAGCCTGGAGGGYGGCAGCGTCATGTATCACAACAACAACCAAAATACATGTGCCTGTTTGTYTTCTATACAATGGCTTGTCATCATTTTTAATCCCAAATGGCTATTAGCAGATGAGAAATTCACTGCAATTAGCTCTGTCTAAAAACCCCACTCAATGCAAGACTAAATGGTAATGTGAAGCTTAAATCCTTAAAGTTGGACACATAAACAGCACTGAAAATGTGATTTTTATTTGTTAGTATTTCTATTTGCTCACAAACTGAACCTAAAGTGTTTATTGTGTGATTTACAGGAAACCAGATGGAGTTTCTCCTGCTGAGCTGACAAATAAATAACATAGCTATCTCATAATTATGAGATAGCTAAGTCATAATGAAATGAGATAGTATCTCATAATAATGAGATAGCTAAGTCATAATTATGAGATACAAGTTTTATTTTTATTTTTATCAGGGTGGCGGAAATGGGCTTCCATACTGGATGAATAAAATTTTACTTGTGTGGAATTTATTTATTTATTATTTTTTTTAATTTGTATTTTTTTCTTTTGCCAGTGGGGTTGGGGGTTAAAAACGCCTCATTAACAGACCAACCAAACATTTTTTTTTTCCATGAGTGACTTGTTCTAGAAGCGAGAAACGCGCGTGGACMCATCCTACGAGAAGTTCAGGCAGCATTTGGTCACTTGTGGACGTCCTCTGTGTTTGTTGCCTTCTAATATTTGACAAGACGGAGTGAATATGTCGTAGTTCTCCTCCTTCAGCTCCTGTCTCCTCCCAGCTGAAGAAGCAGGAGGCAGTCAGTGTGTGAGACGCGCGCAGCGTGGAATTTTTTTTGGAGGAGAGACGTCTTGGAAGGTTTACGCATGACGCAACGACAAAGCTGAAAAACCTCCCCTTCCTCAGACAGACGGGACAGCTCCAAGCCGAACTGTTCAGGGTTTTTGATTTTGGGATCCACTTCATCACAGACGCTCCAAACATCAGAACTTSTTCTTTTTTTATTATTATTTTCCCTCTCTGCTTCTTTCGGATCTTGTTCTTTCGGATCTCCGGGGTGACWGTCAGAGAGGAGTGGAAAAGAGCAACAGTGTGTGAGTGTGTGTTTAAAGAGATCAGAGAAAAAAAAAGAGGGGGATGATCCCGCCGGCTAACGCAGTTCAGGAGGACAGTGGAGGCAAAGAGGACGAACGGGATCAAGATGAGACACCAAAATCCCCAACGACGAGCGCCAGCCAGGAAACCAAGGTCTGCTCTCATATTATTTCAATTATTAATATTATTTCTTATTCTCCTGACAATTTTTTTTACTGAAGCGTCCTGGAAATGATAGAAAAAAGAGAGTTAAACAACAACTTTTGCCTCAGTGGTTAAACTCCTCCAACATGCGCGTAAACTCATCATGATGGAGTTTGGAAAGAAAGCATCAACAGTTTGATCCAAGCAAACAGAAGCTGCACAGGTGGGACAAAACACCTTCAGGTGGAAAAAAAATACACATCTAACGCTTTTTTAACATCGATAAATATAAACACAAGTTAAGAGTTGAATCATTTGCGTGACTTTAATTAGACCAAGAGGTTTAACATCCTAATTAAAACATTTGTGGACAAATAGTTTTTAAGTGATGGTTTCTGCGTGCAGCAGAGGTTCATAGCTGCCCCAGGCTTTGTCTATGTGGGTCAGATGTTGGCCAGCTGCCTACAATTAGCAGGACATTATTGAACTGTTGTCATCATATTAGTTGGATGCTGCAGCTTTTCTTCTCTCCTGTCCCCAAAGCTCCAAAACACAGGAGCTGAGACTTTACTGAGCTACAGGTCTGTTTCCTCAGGTTTCTCCTGTGTTGGGTCACTTTAATGCTTCTACTAACTAAAAATGTGCCACCGTGATAAAAAGGGAACAAAAAGGTTTTTATTTTTTATTTTTTTGGCTCCTATAGTTTACAGCTGTCAAAGTAAAGCTGTCTGTGTTTTTATCCCTCCTTTTTTAAGAGTACTGTGAGACCTGAGCATCACAAGCGCAAGGTGAGCCTCCACTTTTATGCAAGCTGTAGCAAGCTACTGATATAAGCCCATTATCATAAAAGCCTACCTGCATGTACATATTTATAAAAAAAATAGGCTTCACATTATTAACACCTGCTGCTTTTAAGCGACGGATCACTTTGAGGAGCCAATTTGAATCCATCGTTCATTCATTTTGTTTAAAAAGCACCTCTTGTTCTGCATGAGTAATTATTTTTGTTTAAATGACTTTTATTTTTATCTCCAAGTAGCDGTTGCAGCTTCTTTAGTTTTACCACCTGACCCCCACTGCCCCCGCCACCACCACATTAACCTGTCTGGCTTTACGATAGGTAAATCTGATGGCATCAAACAGCATGAGCTGCATGCACACATCCCCTCACTGTTTTTGTTCTTTATTTCATTTTAACAACAACGCAGGGGGAAAAAAACAAGTATCATCTGTTTGTTGACTTGAGGACAACACTTGTAAAAATGACTTAAGACTACTTCAGCATTGCCCTTCCTTTTATTGTTGCCACTTCTATATGAATTCAGAATAATCGCAGTTTACCAAGATGAATCTGCCTCTTTGTAAAATCCAGCTGTTTGATTCTCCTCTTGGTGATTCTGGGTTTCAGCCGGAGACCGATCTGGACTGCAGGGTCATACAKTTTAAAGCCACTCTGTTGCAGATTGAGGTCTGGCACCATCCTAAAGAAAAAAACAGAAAATATGTTGATCAGTATTAAAAGTCCAATATTCACTTTTGCATCATTGGTACCTTCATATACTGTYGATGCAATCAGCCACACTTACTGCATCAGGTGCCTGCTTTTCCACTTTTTACTCCTGAATGTTTTTSTCTTGTTTTTGCAACAAAGAATGTCCCTGAGTTTCTCAATGCAGGGTAGACTGCTGAATGAGAATAGAGGCACAAGCTCAGGAGGCATCCTGTTCAGGTGTCCAAACCCACCTCAGCTGACTTGTTTCACTGCAGAGGAGCAGCAGCTCGACTTTAGCCCAGCCTTGARGGCTCCCTGTGTTGGCTCCATGTGTTGGGGGCTTCCTGTTGCTTTTTTAGGCTCAGGCCCCAGGAGCCAAGGCTCAACCGCCAGGCGCATGCTGGAGAGCCAACACCCGGCTCCCTTAAGCCTGATTCGAGGTCCGGGTTCCCTGTTCTGGGTGTCCTTGTGCAGGACCAGCCCTTGCCAATTAGACATAGGGAAGATGTCAGGTGATGCCCCTTATGCAGTTTTCTAAACCTTACTTCCACTTTACATACAGTACATTACCATACTAAAATCTTTGATGTAATTTTTTTATCTTTAGAAACCAGGTTGTCCAATTTAAAATAGTTCCATCCATTTGAAGAGCATTTTACTAGATTCTTTGGATTAATAAAACAACATAAAAACAATATTTTATGAAGGTAGAACACTGAAAACCAGACTTTAACCTGAACTTTATCTGAGATCAGAACTGAAACTTTAACATTATCCTCATTTTGTTTTCTGTTTTCACTTGAGCACCAGTAGTCTTGACTGCATCATTATGGTACCTTTATCACCAAATATCCTCTGCAACTTATGACCTTATGTAGTAACAAAGCAGGCAGAGAAACCCACAGAACAAAGGACCTTTGTAAGCTTGAGTGACAGTGATTATTCTACAGACTAAATCAACTACTCTGATTATATATATAT